TTATGTGCTCTAATAAGCAGCTTGTCATGTGAAAATCCTCCAGGCACCTTCTGTACAGAGTGTCGAAATAAGTGTCAAAATGATCCGGAAACTATATTCAGAGTCAGAGAGACAATTATTCAGCAAAAAATAAAAACCATGAAACAGTTTCACAGTTAAAGGGTTTTCATGTGGAGATCAGATTCATTACTGCATTCCTGCACCTCCTTAAACTCAGCAGATTTCAAGCTTTCGCTTCTTAATATTTAATATGAGGTTTCTTTAAAGATTAGGCCTTTTCCAGATTACACATACATTTTTGTGTTCTCAGATATCCCACCTTATATTATGTAACAGAGTTTTAAATCTGATTGATTTTTGTTACACTGATTTAAATCCAGTGTCACAACATGCATTTTTACCTCCAAAAACAATTCTTTAATCTGTATCTCTTTCATGAGTCTCATTGTACTCGTACTAATTTAGACAGACAAGCTGCAAAGTTCCTGCATCTAATTTTTCATCTTAGATGTAAATAATGTATAATGTCTTCACTTTTTTCCCACCCATTATCACCTAAAATGAATGGTCCGGAAAGAAGAAAATATCCAGTTAGCGTGAACATGCCTTGTTGATGTCAGACGACAGAGATTGGCTAGAATGCAACAGGGACTCAGATAACCAGAAGACCACACCAGGTTTCACTCCTGTCAGCTGAGAACAGAAAACTTGAAACACATGTCCTGGTCTAATGAGTCTCTGATGATGATTTCTGCGTGTGACATGAACGTGAGTAAGGAACAGTGGTGAACCAGCAACTAATGCACGTAGGAGTGAAGGGTGGTCTGTGTGGTTCCATCAAACAAAAGCGACTGTGGTTCAAATTGCCAAAGAGACTGATGCTGGTTCTAAAAGAAAGGTGTCAGAACGCAAGGTGCATCGCAGTTTGTGTGAGGAGGAGGCTAACAAATTTGAGGTGTTGACTTGGCCTTTAAATTCCTCAGATCTCAGCACACCTTCAGAAGTCCAGTGGAGTCTATACCTCAGTGGGTCAGGGCTGTTTGTCAGTAATAACATCAGTGCACCAATTAGATCTGCAGAGGACTGAAGTAATTATAAGCCAAGGGTGACGCAAGCCGATGGTATGGGGGTGTGGGGTTTAAATAATGAGTTCACGTGTGTCTGGACCGTCATGAGAATGGCCTCATTATGTGGGCCGTTAATGTGTATACGAAGTCGGGTAGACTTCCGGGAAATAGTTGAGAGCCTGTATCAATGTATATGTTTTGTGAGTGTATAATGAGAAAGAAATTCTAGGGGAGGGAGACGGGGATTAAAGTTAGAATAATGAATTGGTGGTGACGCCAAGGGGGAGGGGTTACGGGATATAAGAGACGGCGTGCCGGATATGAAGGGTGTGTTGTAACATACAGGCTGTGTAGCGCGGATCTCAGTTTATGTCTTTGTAACCATCTTTTTATGCACTGGGGAGGCCGTTTCGAATAAAGTATCCACACTAATACCTTACCGACTACGCCTGTGTTTGTCCGGGAGAGGTCTGGAAGGGGACCCCGTGACATAAGGAGAGCTTAACTTCTGTCTGCTAGCTTGCCCTGCACTCAGTGAATCTGCGTTCGACTACTCCGCCTAGGCTGCACTGTCGAGCGCAGATCCACTGAGCTCTCAACACAGACAGCATAGTCAGAAGGAAGGTTGATAAAATAAATTAAAAATTTTGTATTGTTCGATACATATGCGTACCGAACAGAAAGCACTGTATCGAACGGTTCAATATCGATATGAGTACCGTTGCACCCCTAATATATATATATATATATATTACACATCGAGCAAACAGATCACCAACAAGTTAGAGAAATAATATCTTTTACAGACATTCACAGACATTTATTTTACTGCAGAAAAAGAAACTTCTGCTATTTTATTTTTGAATTTTGTTTGCAAAGGTCTGCCACAAGACATTTTTGTTGGATGTATCAAAAACAAACAAATAATATGTTTGTAATAATAAACAACATTGCATGATGGAGATAGTGGCCATTTGGTTCCCAATTATAAAGAACAGACGTTTCCAAGAGCCACTGCAGGGGTGCGTGGTATGAAAAGAAAAAAAAAAAAAAAGAATGCTTGGACACTGCTAGCATAACTGACAGGTTATTGACGGGGCTTCTTATAAA